ATGGTTTGTAAGTCCGTTTTGTATAATTTTTAATTTTTCATAATACCCAAACTTCCATTGTCAGTAATTAAAAACCCCTTCCCATTTTTGAACCGTTGGATTGTTGTGTCCAAATCTAAAGATTGAGAGGGGTTTAGTTAAGTTACTAAGCACCCCATTAGTCATGGGATCCGCCCTCGATTCTGGAACCAACCCAACAAATTTGGAGAATACACCTGCCATGAGTTTGCCACAATGTTTATCTATTGAAAATAAAATGCTATCATCCCTAGCAAGGTAGACTCACCTTAAACACACAAATCAAATTCGCATATAAATTCAACAATAACATAATAGTTCTTCTGAAATTCAATCCATCACCAAAATTTTAATTTGCAAATCCAATAATATGACGAAAATCTACAATTTTCAACTCCAACAAGCAAATGATAGCTTTAAACTTATCGGTGCAACATAGCCATTCTTATCATATGACCTAAGAAGTTATGTTGTGGATGAGATTGCCACATAAACACTACTGTTTTCATGGATTAGCCATGGTGTATATATATCACCCAAGTCACCATCTTCCAATATTTTCATTTTGCTACCCTTTTAAATTGGGGAAAGAGATTTGGTGGCCTCCACTTTGATTAATCCATTCTGATAGTTTTGCTGACAGAGAGTGGGCTAAATTTGTGTAGAATTTTGTGGGCCAGCTTACTGACATGGCATTTTGGGGAGTAGGCCCAGTTGGGGTTCTTTTCATAGAGGTTTTATTGACGATATATTATTTTCTTTTGAAGGTTTTAAGTTATTAGATAAGGAAAGGGTGTCCTTAAATTTGTTTGGTTCAAATTCCTTCCACATATTAAGATGTTGATGTACAAAAGCTGGTTTCAATGATGTATTATGGTTGTTTATCCATTCTTTGCCGTAAAATTTTACCTAAGAAACAATTCGTTTTGATAGATGAGAGATCGCGAAACAATGAACATGCGGGTGGTCTAAATTTTTTAACATTTTATAGTGGATCAACCATGTGAAAAGTGAACCAAAATCTGATAGTTGTATAAGTAGATACTATAATAGGATCAAACTCTTGAGATAATTTGGAAGCTCCCAAAAATGACTTTCGCTTCAATTTCAATAGAGTGAAATATATGATATATGCCAGATTTCTCATCACATACTTATCCATAATAATTAATGACCACCCATATTATAAGTTGTCGTCTAAGAGTCATTTAAGAACGATCCACTGTAATGAATCGCTATCGATGAATTGTTAGGTTGCAGACTAGTTTGAACATCTTTTGGAAAGGTTACCCACTTGTTACATCTTTGTTGATGAGTAGGCTTTGGTTACTCACACATTCATAACTATTCTCCCAATATGTCAATTGTAACGAGTTGGATCTCATTCGTTTAAACTCAACTGATGGAGTTTTTACCACAATCTACCATGGTGATAAAGCTTGGTTGTATAGAAGATTATATCATGCTTATGAAAGTGTACTATTGTGAAAAAGTTTCAGAATTCGAGCTAAAACAAAAGACGTAGAGGGGTGGTAGAGAGTAGTAGAAGGTGACAACGGGAGCAGTTCTGAAAAATTTTCTTCAAAATATATTTAAAATACATATAATTTTATATATCATAATGAACTCATTTTTAAAGTGCATTTTTTCAAATTTCAATTGAAATAAAAAATATAAAAAATTCAATCTCAATCTAAGCCTATGTAAAATTAAGGGACAAAATCTATGCACAATTACAGGTTATGATTGTACATTTGGTGCTACAGCACATGATCCCTCCCTTCGATGTCATACTATATGGAAACATACCAAATTTTTTTTAATACTTTATTTCTTTTGAAATTGGATAAATGTCACATTTCATTACTGATATTACTAAATTATGTCATGTTTAGTCACAAGAAAAAATTAATATCAATTTTGGTCACTCGAATTACTGAAACATGTCACATTTAGTCACTCTTCCTCTAGGCTAACAGAGAGTGATTAAATGTGACATGTTTCAGTAATTCGAGTGACATTCATAAAAAAAAAGTAATTGGAGTGACCGGAGTTGGACGAAGGCTAACGTGAAAGTGATTAAATGCGACATGTTTTTAGTAATTCAAGTGACCAAAATTGATATTAATTTTTTCTAGTGACTAAACATAACACGATTTAGTAATCCCAGTTACCAAACGTGACATTTACCATTTTGGAATCATAGTTGAAGATAGCTTTCTTGACATGCCGTGCCTTGGAGAAATAGGCATTGTCTTGCTTATAAGTTATATCTATTGATTTGCTCATTTTCAAAATCTATCTACTGGTGAGTCATTTTCATGAATGAAAACGAGTAAAGAGTCAAGAGACTGATAATAATGTGGATTTAATGGCAAAGATCTAAGAATCAAATCGTATATCATAATTGATTATGTTTTAAAACTTGCTAAGAATTAACATCATGTATGTCATAGTAGCTCACTCGACCCATCAATACAAATCAACCAAACTAACACAGAAAAAAAAAAATTACTTAGTGCCCCAGATGATTATATGAACTAACGCGATATGTTTTTCTTTTCCATTATGAATTCTATTACATCACAATAATGCATGATGATAACCTTGATGATTGTATCCACACCACACGAGTAGAGTTACCTCATCAAGAATATAATTCATATCCTCTTCCTAGTTCAAATTTTGAAGTAAGTCCATGGCTAATGTTTGCTCCAAAAGTCATAGTATGAGTCATTCAAGCTATAACAACCAGAAAGTGACATCTGGAGACAAAATTTTCACACCAGACTGGCTTTTAACAACCAATTGATTTAAGTGATTGGTAATTCAAATCTCTACACTATTTTCCAAGGTTGGTTTATGGTTAGGCAGAAATTAAAACAATGGGACCAAAACCCATGTTGAAGGGAACCCTAATGGGACCAAACCAATCAATAAGGTTATTTACAAAGGCACTTAATTCATTGAGGGTACCCTTTATTCTGGTTTGTGCCCTTCCTTAGTCCTGATGTAATTTCCTTTAGGGGAGGAATATTTTGGAGTACCCTTTAAGCAAAGGGGGAATTCTGTTTTGAAAAAAAAGATGGGGATGACACTTCATAATGGGAATCATGATAATCAATAACTAATTCAATGTCATTTTCATTACCAAATATGCACCTTTCCAAAGATTAACACCAAAACAACCCCACAAAAAGTTTAATTATTATGATTATATTGATTGTGAAGAAAACTACAGGCTTGATTGGAGGATAGGGATGACACTTCAGCTCTCTATCCATGTATGTAGCTTTTATCACTTGAGCAAATTTTTTATCCTTGAAACATTTCCAACAGACACACAATTTTTGAAGATAGGAAGGCTCTTGGTCAGTTATATGTCCTTTTCTTGGTACTATTGGTTACTGTTAGGGATTCCTCTTGTGTACATAGGATAGGGAGCCTTATCACCATCCTTGTCACCTTAGACCTTACCCTTTTCTTCTTGTGTGTTTTTGACATCAGATTATAAAGATAATACTGAAATTAATATCATCAATTGGCCTATTAGCTCAGCTGGTTAGAGCGTTGTGCTAATAACGCGAATGTCACAGGTTTGAGACCTGTATGGGCCAATATTTTTTTTATGAGGATAATTGTTGAAATCAAGGTTTTCAACCCGCGAGTTGACCCGGATCCGGTGGAGCTAGTGGGTCAAGGGTTAATGGGTCAACCGTTTTAGCCCGAAAATATAGAAAAAGTCATTATATTGTACTTATCCTCATAAATTATATCAAATCTTATCTAGCATATGACTTATAACATATAATATTACACCAAAATAACATATCGTACTTAGATCCAACATATAGTGAATTCACACACACTTATATAACATAAATATTCAAATGTTCAACTTAGGATTCCAAAGATTGAGTTAGGCGAAAAGAAAAATCGGAAAATAGGCGCATTTCGCAAACCAAAGAAAAAAATGACACAATTTGACCTCCAACCCAGTACCTTGTAGCTGTCGGCCCGGCAGGTGCGTATTGCCCGTTTTTCTCACCGGGTCAGGGTCAACCCACAGGTTGACAACCTTGGTTGAAACTGATTTTTATAACCGGATACAGATCATGATACCACCAAGTCACAACTAAAAATGTTTTTTTTTTGGGTTTGTTGATATTTGTTTGCTATGATTCACTCCAATCATCTCCACAAAATCTTGTTGATTGATTTTCAAGACAATTATAGGAATTCTTCAAGGAAAAGAGTTGATTCTTATGGATGGTTGATTAAGCTTAAATGGTTCTCCTGTGATTAAGAGTTAAGTTGCACAACCAAAATGATGCTAAGAAGAAAACCCAACCCAAAATATTTATGTCACTTCTGCGTTCAGCAGGATTTCATAAAGGAGCATCAAGTAGGGTAAGCCAAACCACATCCAAAAGAGAAAAGGAACAAGTCATTGATGTTTGGACCTACATGATCCAATAGAAGAGTCTTTGATAAACAGCCTTATCTGTTCTGCTTTTCTGGATCACTCAAAATTCTGTTAAGGATGTCTCCCTGTGGATGGAGTGTGGATCTCAATTTGCCTCATCACCTTTTTCTTCTGGTTATCACAAACAACCCACCACCTTCTAAATTCTGCCTACCAGGGAAATTTAATTTTTGTTGGATTATCATAGTGACCACTTTCTTTCTTATCCTCTCCTCAAACACATGCTTCAACATGGGTAAGGCAGTTATCAACAAACTGCCAATCCTGATAAGGGACAAGACTTGGTTGGAATTTGCTGGATTTTCCCTATGTGCTCATTGCATAAGGTTTGAGGGAGGAGAGCAATTTCAGATTACACCATTTTTTCACAGTACAATGCAGATGATTTACACTGGCTTACCTAGAAGGCTATATATGTGGTCACAATCTGCAGAACTTCGTGCCTGGAGATGACCATCTTGATGGTTTTTTCCCTCTTCATACGCTTTTAGTTTTTCTAGGCCATCACCGATGTTGATGCATTTTGATCAGCTTGCTCACCTGGAAGAGACTCAAAACATTGATTAGTAGCAATTACAGATATCAAAGACAAGAACTTTATAACTATCATACGATCAGTGGAGAACAGAAAGACGAGCTACGTCCTTAGAAGGTTTGTTGCAATTTCTCAAACTCGATCAGACTTAAAGCATAAATTAAGTGACTCCTGTGAAGTTATAACAGGTTTCCAAAGGCTAACAGCAGATTAGTTAACCACGAAAGCAGGTTTCCATAGGCTAACAGCCGTTAGAAGATAAGAGAATGAATCGAAGAGAAGAAATTGTCATTTATCGATGGTGACAGTAGTTATACTGCCAACAGAACCTATTAACATTTGATTCTCCTATTCCCAATACATCTGTAACATCTTCAAGTTTGTGGTTCGCGGGCAACTTAGATGAATCTTTTTGGTCTCTGACGTCTATTCTCTTAAATCCTCTCCTAGCATACTGACCCAGTCCTAGAGCATTTATCAGCCCAAGAAGAGTGATCCAGTGATAGCAGAGCAAAAAAGAGTCCAACAATTTTGACTGTACCATCTGAATGAGAAGGTCCAAAATTTCAGTGGCTTTACCTGATTTAATAGTACAATGACACTAACCTACGCCCATGGCCCTTCAATAATATTTGTCCATTTAAGCAATAGCCAGGCAAACAAATGTTCCTTTTAAAAGTCTAATGGAATCAGGTGCCTGCAACCTCTTTGAATCTCCAATTCAAGATTTCTTGTCAAAATGGGTAATCATATTCTCATGCGGGTACACAACGAAGAGCATTTTCTAACAAGAAGTTCTAGTAAAACTATTACTGTGTATGCAATGACTTACAATTCGCTTCCTTCACAATCATATCAGCAGAGGAACCAGCTGAGAATCCCAACTTCTGCATGACTTCTTCAAGACGATTTGAATTTGTGAGGTAAAGATAACCAACCTATAAAATGTATTTTACCTATGTTAGTAAAGCAAGAACAAGTGAGCTTCTAGAAAAAGATTATTATTATCTGCCCCAACAAATTCTACTGGCGGAAACCATAGGGTAAGAGGTGTTACCAGTGTTTCCAATGAAGAAGCTCGGTTATAAACTGCTGACCCAGCACGCCTCCTTGTCCGTGTTTTAGCTGAACCGACATTCTTGCCCCATCGAAGAATGCCTCTGCATCAAAGTCTATTATGTAAAATATTTAAGATTCTTATATGTGAGACTCTTAAGCCATTCGTATAGACTACCAACCTTTCTTCCGCAGATAGGAAATTTTCTTCCACGAGTTTCTGAAGTAAGGCGTCCTGATTTGAGCAGCAGATGTTATATTAAAACTCACTACTAAGTTTAATCACGATATGAAGTAGAATGTATACAGGAATCTTGTCAACACAATCATTAGCTCAATTGAGAAATGAACATCAACATATTACATATTGCTTCTAGAAAGCAAAGGACTGACAAATACTAGAGGCATCATAAATAACTTGTGAAGCAGAACATATTGATGTTGATTTTGACATACATCTCACCATGAATAAAGAAATGTTATCTCCAAGTAAAACCAAAGTCTTTAATAGCTTATGCGTGAATGGATAGTTGAATATATCATTCTTTTAACGTGTTAAGTGTAGAAATCTGAGCTTCAAAAGTTCTCATGTGAGGAATGCAAGTTATGAATGTGAATACCACAATGAAAAGCACCAAAGTTTATGGTAATTCAATCCTCTAAGGGCATTTCCACACAATTAATTTAGAGGCTCAGATATTAGTTCATGCTCATATGCCAGGCGACAATAAGAAATCTGATTCAACAAATTCGAATGGAGGATGGAGTTTGTCAGGGAAAAAAAGAGGATCTACCTGTGCCTCACAGCGTACTACTGCCATCACACGCTCATTGTATTCTTCGATGTTCAGAGGAGGGAATAAGAAGTGTCTGCGAGCGTAGAGCTGCAGAGAAGGGGCACAAAGAATCCTGAATGTATTCCACACTGCCATACATCCAGTTTCTTAAACAGCTGAATATCTAGAATGATCCAAAGAAGTGAGAAGCATCTTACCTCATATATACCATCGCCGATGTATGCCAAAGTTGCTGCATTAAAAGTAGATCGAGGCTTCTCAACTTTCGGTGGTCTTGGAAGCCAAACATCATATCCCAAGTATGACGATTCATTGATTTCTTCAACCACCTCTGCACACAATTAAAACACGAGCATTACCCATCAAGCTCGCAAGTAAAAGCATCAACAACAATTCAAAGTGAAACATAAAATTCAAATCTAACACTAAACATCAGGAACTAGATACATAGGATTGACATGATCTTGCCATTTTCTGGCTGCCCATTAGAGTTCCATTTCAACTTATCGGCAACCTTTCAAAATGATGAAGCAAGCTAACGAAAAAAGTAATTGCCCATTTTCATACACAAACTTCCCAATTCATGCACAGATTTCCGAACTACCAAATTGCAATACAATCCAACAACCTTGTGGCAATTCAAACATACCCAACAACAAATTGCCGAGTAAATTTATTACCTTTTCCCTTAATGTTGCGCCGGAGAAGTGCTGCAACCGACTGGGGGGTCAAATTAAGCGTGGGCGACGAAGGTCTGGCAGTACCCGTCGTTGCAGTAGAGGTGGTAGTCAAACTGCCGGTTTTGGTTTCTGCAAGATTCTTCTTGTTGGGATTCTTCGGCGCATTGGGATTGTAACTGAGGCGCTGCTGGGTGTCCCACGAAGCTCTCACAGTCGCCATAGACGGCGAGGAAGAGGGAGAAATCATGGATAAAGTTTGCATCTTGGCGCTAAAAATCCGATTTTTTCTACCTCTGGTGGTTTTGGAGAACCCTGGGAAGAAGATGAGAGAGGTTTAGGAAATGGGTTTAAGGATGTGAGCTTTGATGTGGATAGAAAGATGAATGGGCTTAGTTTAACTCCTCAGATGGGCTTTATTTGGCTGAATTGGGCTGATAGTGTGGGCTTGGTTAGCAGTTGAACTCCACAAGAACGTACACTGTTTCGCTAAACAGACAAGTATGAGTTGCTTGTACAAAAACGAACCACTGAAATACTGACACGTGTGAACAATGCGAGAATAGCAAAATTTTAGAGCTTCTTCTAGTAGCAGCGGCGGTCGTCGCCTTTCTTCCATCTTTGTCGTGTGTCGAACTCTCTCTGCACGTAGCCAAGAAACCCTAAAATTTTCCCGAAAGAGAAATAAAGAAGGGAGAACGAAAGCTTTGCTCGCCGGCAATTAGCTTCGTTTGTTAAAGAACGCACTCAAGCAGGCAACGGCTGGCCATGAGTCGATACGACAGCCGCCCCGGCGACCCTGCTTCTTACCGTGACAGGAAGAGGTATGATTTCGTAAGTTTCGCAGGAATAGAGAGCGTGGAAAGTTTTCCATATTCCTGAAATGTTAGCTCCAATTGAATTTCTCTGTATGAGGAATGCAAGGTTTTTCGTAACAGTGAATTGATTCGTGATATTAAGAGGAGAAGAAATAGCAAGAGAGATGTCAATTACACTGCTATTGGAATCCTATTACCTTGAAATTACACTGGTTTCATGTTTGGAAGCTCTGCAGTGTTAATATTAGTTTTGAAGCTTAGAGTACTATAGTTTAGGGCATTGATGGAGACGGTGTCTTCTCTCTTGCTGTGTAGCATTTTGCTCCTACTTTCTTTGCTCACGGCTGAAAGCTGGTTGTATTGCCAGGTTATGCATCTTCATTGTATCTTCATTTCGTGTGAATTTTGTGATTCTTTAGTGATTCAGGTTTTGGTGGTGGTTCGAGCTATGGTGGTGGTTCTGGACGATCGTCATCTGAAAGGCGGGATCAGAGTCATGCCGGTGGTTCACCAAGGAAATCAGATCTCGATGGATTGACTCCATTTGAGAAGAATTTCTATGTGGAATCACCTACTGTCGCTGCAATGTCTGACAGGGAGGTTGAGGAGTATAGGCTGCGAAGAGAAATCACTGTGGAGGGACGTGATGTTCCAAAGCCTGTTTTGAGCTTTGACGATGTTGGGTTTCCAGGTAATGAGGTTTGGCATTATCTTGAAATTGTTAAGCTTTTCATGACTGGCTTTTACTCTACTGCTGAAATGATTCCACTTACCGTTTTGGGTTTTTCCACCAGAATATGTTATGCAAGAGGTTAGTAAAGCTGGCTTTACAGAACCTACCCCTATACAATCTCAAGGATGGCCGATGGCTTTGAAAGGACGCGATCTTATTGGTATTGCTGAAACCGGATCTGGTAAGACGCTTGCCTACCTGTTACCAGCGATTGTCCATGTCAATGCCCAGCCAATATTAGGTAAAGTGCAGATAGTTGCTATTTTTTTTTTTTACAGTCTATTTCAATGTAGCCATAAAGGTCTAGTCTTGGGATAGTATTAATTTTTGGTATTGCCTTACTTGCAGCACCTGGAGATGGTCCGATTGTATTAGTTCTAGCCCCAACTAGAGAACTTGCTGTTCAGATACAGCAAGAAGCTACTAAATTTGGCGCATCTTCAAGGATTAAGAATACTTGCATTTATGGTGGGGTCCCTAAGGGACCTCAGGTTCGTGATCTCCAGAAAGGTAGGTGGTGGTTGAATATGACATGACGGCTTCTGTACCTTATTTCTGGCTTTCATCAATTGGCTATCGTCAGATGCATGATTGCAGTTGAGTTTATATCAACTTCCCCTCTTTACTGTCAGTTCCATAGATAGGGTGTAATTTTTGTTCATAACCCGTGCCGTTAACACTTCAAACGTCTCTTTTTATTATTATCAGGCGTAGAAATTGTTATAGCTACTCCGGGAAGGTTGATTGACATGTTGGAATCACACCATACAAACTTGCGAAGGGTTACTTACTTGGTGTTAGATGAGGCAGATCGGATGCTAGACATGGGTTTTGAGCCTCAGATGCGAAAAATTATCAACCAGGTCTGAAATTCTGCCACTTCATATGAATCAGTAGTCTTGAATTTCACGAAGTTTAACTAATAATGTGTTAGGAGCTCTGAAATTTTCTTCATGGAAGATTTGGATTTTAATGTACTCGCAAAAAATTATAGTGCTCCAATCTATAAGGGTGTGCCCCGTATTGATGGGATGCTTCCTCACTCTCTGAATTTGCATAGCTCTTCCATGCGTGTTGCCTATGATTCACTCTCCTTTTCCCTCCATTAAGTTAAACTTGGAGAACATTCTACAAATTTCCCCTAAACTGCAATGAATCTTACCATGTTTTTCTCTCAATTGAAATTACAACTCATAAGCACAGCCATATTGTTGCTTAACCTATATGGCCTTCCAAAAGAAAATGCAAAAACTTTAGAAATGTGAAGCTCTAACATTCAGCCTTCCTTTGTTAAAAAAGAAACAGTATTGCTATTGAGCACAAACATGTTCTGTTATTTCGTGGCTCTCAGCATTGGTAACTTGCATTCTCTGCAGATCCGCCCTGACCGTCAAACCCTGTATTGGAGTGCTACTTGGCCCAAAGAGGTAGAGCTGCTGGCTAGGAACTTTCTTTACAACCCATACAAAGTAAGATACACGCGACTTATATGACAAGCTAAAATCGTTCTCTCCATTTGGTTAAGCTTGAATTCAATTTGCCTCGTGAAATGCAATATGTGTGTATTCTTATTCTGTTCTGTTTGTTTATTTGTAGGTTGTTATAGGATCAGCAGATCTAAAAGCTAACCATGCAATTCGCCAACACGTGGACATTATTTCAGAGAATCAGAAGTATAACAAGTAGGTTATATATTAATGTGCAGTCTTCTTTTTTATAGAATGCAAATGTCAGGGCTTTCCCTTAGTATTCGTGTTGATGGTTTGTTTCTTCTTTCAGATTGGTGAAGTTACTGGAAGATATCATGGATGGCAGCCGCATTCTGATTTTCATGGATACCAAGAAAGGCTGTGACCAGATAACCAGGCAACTCCGCATGGATGGTTGGCCTGCTCTCTCAATTCACGGGGATAAGAGTCAAGCTGAAAGAGACTGGGTTCTTTCAGAATTTAAATCTGGAAAAGCTCCTATAATGACTGCAACAGACGTCGCTGCTCGTGGTCTAGGTATGTAAAAGCATGATAGTACCCTTTTTTTCTTGATCCACATTGTGTGGTGGCTCTTTGCAGCCCAAAATTCTTAAATAGCTCTTTTCTTTTTTTGGTTCTGTGCAGACGTGAAGGATGTTAAGTACGTTATTAATTACGACTTCCCTGGGTCGCTGGAAGATTATGTTCACCGTATTGGCAGAACAGGAAGAGCTGGAGCCAAAGGAACTGCGTACACATTCTTCACAGCCGGGAATGCCAGATTTGCTAAGGAGCTCATCAGCATACTCGAGGAAGCAGGACAGAAGGTCAGCCCAGAATTAGCAGCCATGGGTCGTGGTGCTCCTCCTCCTCCGACAGGTATGGTTAACCATCAACCTATAGCGAACTTCCGTCAATTTGATCCTATGCCCGAATATTCGTTAGGATGATGATGCAGACTTCATTCCCTCAATTCGCTCGTACGCCTAAATACGCATGAACATGACGTATGTCTGATGGATGATGGTTCAGGGTTTGGGGGCTACCGTGATCGTGGCAGGGGGACTGGTGGCCGTTCTTGGAGCGAGCTGAAGAGATGACCTGGAAAAGACGTGCTGTCAAGTTGCATAGACTTTGCAATGAATGAATATCAGAGCACATAGACTGTAACCTTAGCCTCTTTTCTTTTCCTTCTTTTAGATTCTGACTTCTGAGATTGTTCCATTTGAGTGGCGGGCGGGCGGGCGGGGTTGCATTATGTGATTAGATAAAAACTTCTCCCCAGGTTTGTCGTGTAAGAAGGCCAGGGAATTTGGAATCATTTGTACTGTAAACTGTTGCATCATTATAGAGCAGCCTTTGCTCCACTGATACCAGGCAAGTCACGACTCATGTCCAGTCCGCAGCAAGATAGGACTTGAATAACGTGACAGATTGCTAGGCTGATTTAAGCCATTAGGCTGGTGAAATAAATGATTTGAGATTCATTGGTCGGATCAGGATTTAGCCGGTTTAAACTGTTTTATATATAATATAAAAAGGTTTAAGCATTTTTATACATAGTATAGCATTTATATATAGCATAGAAATAATTTAAGATTTTAATAATTTCAATGTAATTTGATAGTATCATACTAATTTAGCGACTAATACATTATCTTAACCTAAAAGTTGGGTATATTTGCGTCGTTTTCTAAAATTGGGTTTGAGAGCGGACCAATACACACCATTTTGTCTAAGAGTCTAACTAAAACCAGTAAATCAGATTAGTAGATCATTTGTTATTTTTTGTGGTTTTAACTGGCTACCGGTTTGAAAGGAAAACGACTTTATGAGATTGATTTCAGTAACGACTCCAATCAGACCTAATCCAGCCAACCGATCCGACCACGGCTTGGCAACACTGCTAAAATGTTGGCCAAACAAACAGATGTCAAAATCCAAAGTGAAAGCCAACAAACAATAATGCATACTCCAGCCTGTAAATATTAAATTTGAATCCTGTACTTCCCCCCTCTATTGATTGATGGCGATGCATTAAATCTTCCTTCTCCAACTTGAGTTTGACTCTTCCCTCCCCCAAACCCTCCGACCAAGGATCACCACTTCTTCTCACTCAACCCCCGACGACCAAAGACACTCTGCTTCTTCTTCCCTATGGTACATCCACGATCCTTATTCGCGCTTCTCCGTCTCAATATTGGATTGTATACCACTCTCTTACTCCGAATTTTCATTTCCCCCTCCCGCAGGACAACGTCAACACGATGGAGACGAATAGTCAACGGAATGACAACAACAACAACAACCACCGTCAGCAGCAGCACTACCTCCACCTCCTGAAGACGGTAATCAACGGCGACTGGGAGACGGCAAAATCAATCTTCGATTCCGACCCTTCCGCCCTCACCGCCCGCCTCTCCGAGTGGCAGGAGACCACCCTCCACGTGGCGGTCAACACGGGCCGCTCCCTCCACTTCGTCCGCAACCTCGTCGACCTGCTGCCGGAAACCTCGGTCCGGCTCGCCGACGGGTACGGCGGCTCCGCGCTCCACAATGCGGCCATCGCGGGCAACACGGCGTCCGCGAGGATTCTGGTGGCGAAGGCGCCGTCGCTGCTGCATCTCAAGAACAACAACTTCGGCGACGCCCCGATTCACTCGGCCGCGCGGTACGGACACCGGGAGACTTTTGAGTACCTGCTGTCGGTTACGAAGGAGGATGTGGATCCGAGTCCGTTCGCCGGGCAGGACGGCGCCAAGCTGCTCAATCTGCTCATCGTCGGCGACTTTTATGGTAATCAATTCATCATCGATCCGTAGTGAAATTAGAATGAACAATTGTGTTTTAATCTTTGCAAATTGAATGTTGAACAGGCCTAGCTCTCGAAGTTCTTCAAAGATTCCCTTCACTAGCTCGAGAGCACGACTCCTTCGGCCGAACAGCCATATCCACTCTAGCAGAGAAGCCGCTGGCATTTCCTAGTGGGACGAGGATCGGACACTGCCAACGCTTCTGGCGGCACTGCATTTCCTTACTAGGCAAGACGAATTGCTCAATTCGTTCTTCCTCCTCCTCCGACGATGTCGAAAACCGGGGCGAAACGAAATTCGAGCTCCCGAAACACAGCCGAGCGATGGAGCTCCTCAGGCTGCTGATCTCCGGTGTCCTGAAAGCAGAGACCACGGCCGAATTCGATCGGCTTCTCGCACCTCCAATTGTCTTTGCCGCCGCATTGGGGATCTACGAAATTGTGACCGAGATCGTTAAGGCCTACCCGAACGCCATTTGGCTGGCCGATCCAAATGGTATGTACATTTTCCACCTCGCGGTGATCAATCGTCAGGAGAAGGTATTCAACATTCTGTACCAGATGAGCGCGAATCGAAACTTCGCGACGGCGCTGAGGGTTAGGGATTCCGGAGACAATTTGCTGCACTTGGCAGGGAAGTTGGGGGACACGGAGAGGATTCCAGGCGCTGCTCTCAAAGTGCAGCGCGAACTGCAATGGTTTAATGTGAGTCTCAAAACTTATGATCTGATCTTGATACGCCATTTTGTTTCTGGTTCCAATTTTTTATGGTTTTTGCAGGAAGTGGAGAAGATGGTCCAACCATCGTACCGCGAGATGAAGAACTACGCGTGGAAGACCCCGCGGAATCTCTTCACCGAAGAGCACAAGTCCCTAATAGAGCAGGGGGAGAAATGGATGAAAGACACAGCACTGTCCTGCTCCGTCGTGGCGGCACTCGTCGTCACGGTTGTCTTTGCAGCAGCATTTACCTTACCTGGAGGAGCCAACGACGAGGGCATCCCGATCTACATCAACAACGGGCCGTTCATCGTGTTTGTGGCTGCCGATATTCTGGCGCTCTTCTCCGGCTCAACTTCCTTGCTCATGTTTCTGGGGATCATGACCGCGAGATACTCGGAGAGGGATTTCCTGAGGTCGCTGCCGATGAAGATGGGGATCGGGCTTTTCGCGCTCTTCTTGTCGATTGCTGCCATGATGACGGCATTTGGAGCTTCGCTGCACATTATTCTGTACCATAAGGTGAGATGGATTCTGGCGCCGATTGGGCTGGTGGCGTCTGTGCCTTCGATTCTGTTTGCGTTTCTGCAGTTTCCTCTGTTGGCGGAGGTGGTGCTGTCGACTTTTGGTCCTAGCATTTTTGGGAAGCAGAGTGATGAGATCATTGCGTGAGAATGTGTTCTTGGTTTGTCTAGATTTGTACAGGTAGGTGATAAACATCTAAATTGTGGCTTGTAGTTATGGCGGCTCTGTAATTTGTTTGTTACTAGTACTCGCCCCCGCTCCGCGGCGGGGTAAGTCTGACTCCAGTTGTTTTGTGGATTTTGTCATGTTCTTTCTGCTATACCATTCGCAAATAGTTTAGATTCATTGCACCAGAGAGCGCAGAAATTAACAAACATATTAACAAACTTTGTGGACACCACACATATACATCTGCCATAGTTTTGTCTTCATTGAAAATAGGGAATAAAAACTTTAGTATCTGATGCCCTCGACGAAAATAAAAAACTTTGTGCACAGCACACAAACACATTTGCCATAGTTTTGTCTTCACTGAAAATAGGGAATAGAAACTTCAGTTTAAAATGGAGAATTCTAGAGGTGGATGGGATACTTCGGTTGGTCTTTCTGTCAGTAGTGCTGATTGTCACTTATCTATCCTTGAGGTGTGCCAAAGTGTCGCTACTCTTATGTGGGATACGGCTGTTCTGGTTCTGTTCTTCATATCTGAGGAACCGATGTAGAGCTCTCCTGCAAACATTCTGCTACATCTTTTGACCAGCAACGCCTTGGCCGATTCTGCATCGAGTTTCTTGTATTTGCTGGGTGACATTCCTATTATTGATAGTGTAGCCTCGTGGTCCAGTATGGCATCAACACTATCATCTCCTTGCTTGCATTTGACTTCCAGCTCATAGTGCAGCCTAGTCATAAGTATAAGTTCAGAAACTTGTTGGCTTATTCGTAGATAGGATGTAATTGTCATTTTGAAATAGAAAACTTACTCTGGCCAGTCCTCAGTCGCTTGGCATATGACTTTTCGAAATTTCATTTGTGAGATGAAGAACTTAACACGATAGAGTACCTAGCATGAACATCAGATATTGATAAGACATAGGTCTACGAAAAGTGTAGGTATACAGTATAGGAATTTGGTTTATGTTCTGTCCCTCACTAACCTTGTGGGCAGTCTGATCAGATGCAAGCATTGTTTCCATGTCAGAGAGTGTCTTCTTTTCGATTCCTGATCGAAGGCAGCCTGTCTTCTTACTGGTATTGGCATCCATGAAATAAACTTGCTTGCGACTGTAAAGGAAACTGGTTGTAGCATAAAAGAGACAAAAGTGTCAATGTAATTGTTTTTGGCCAACTGACAACAAATATGATTCAAAAAATGGAAAGGATTCTGTCAAACTAAATGTACATGTGCATTATCTCCTGGACTGGGCCTGTATAAGATCTTATCATGAGTGCACTGGCAGTAGTGGATTCGAACCGATACTTGTATTTCTGGTCGGACAGAGGTGCCACCCGAATGACAGACTTGATTGTAAGGCATATGAGCCTCGGCTGTCGGGGCGTTCTCTAAGAAGTTCGGTATATCATATCCACGATACCGAACAGTTGCCTTGGCGCCACTATCAATGACATTAATATGTGAGGTTGTTTATTCATACAATTCGCAGATCGAGATTCTATTCTACAAAATGTACCTCACATCCTGAACGACCATGTGAAATTCTTTGAGTCTACTGCGAATTGTTGTGGGAACACTGAGACGCCTAATGCATACGGTGATGTCTATAAGCAACATAAGAGTTTGTCATTTAAAAGCTTAAGTTCATTTTATTATATCAAATAGATGAGCACTTCTACTATGCTATATAGTATTGGTGCTTTAATGTACAACTTAAAGTTGTACCATAACATTAAATGTATAAGTTTAGGTTGTACCAACAAGCAATTTGTACCATTATGTTATGGTACAACTTTACAACTTAAAGTTTTACCATCACATAAGGTACAAGTTCAAGTTGTACCATAAAAGAATTTGTACCAAAAGTA